AAATTGCTCTTTAAATCTCACGCTGAAAACCATTACGTAACAGACGAAAACGGTGAAAGTTTCGTTTGCCCTTTTTTCTATCCCATCATCATCATCTTTACATCAGATGGAAACTTTAGATTTATCATGGAATGTGTACGCATTTTATTTCTCTGTAAAAACTCGAGATTTATTCAGATTTGTCCATTAGATATGCAAGATTAGGAAAGATTTATGAAAGTTTAATGCATGTATAATGTACGAATGGGAAAGATGATGAAACGCAAGTAATAACAAAAATAACAACAACATGTTGTAGATTAATCTGGGAAAGTTTATGCTTCTGTTGAAACGAGAGATGCGTTTATTGATCTAGTTTTACTTTAAATTATTTATGATATTCAATGAAACACATAAATTGAAACAGTTTGAATGTAAATAAAACAATTCAATTTTTGTTAGTTCATAAAATAAATTATTTAATTCTTTGAAAATTTTACCAAAATTATTCAATTAAAAAGTTTTTTTTTTAATTTTCACATTTTCTAAAATTTAAGTACGAAATTTGTTAAATTTTATTTAGTTTAATGAAAATTACTTCATTATTTGCATACGCAAATTAGATGAACACTCGATTGATTGTTTGGTAGATGACTGTTCGGTATTTGTGATTTGCGTAATGGGTTCAATCGATTTACGTAATTAACGCGTTAATTGAATATTAATGTAATTCCCAATTTGCATTCATATTTGTACCCAAAATTAGTGTTTTAATCTCTAAATACATTAAGTAATGTAAATTTATTAAAGAAAATATGAGAAAATATTATTTTTAAAAAAACTTTTTCTTGAAGTTGTTTTTCAAGACAACTTTACTAATTTCTTTCATTAAAATATGGATAATATTTACTATTTTTTTGTACTAGAACGTTATGTTATTTAGAATATTCGTTTAGAAACAATTTTGGATGATTTTCTATAAGATTTAAACGATTCTATCAAAACGCCATCTATTGGCGAAACAAAAAAATATTTTTAATTTTGTTATTTTTATGTAGCTTATTGATTTAACAGTCAAATTAAATACAAATTAACGTTAAAAATCTTATTTTTTTCACTTATATTTAAAGAAAAATAATGAATTTTGGTATATAAATCAATTAGTGTATTTTTTAGACAATAGTAAACATTTGCGTTTAATTACAAATTAATTTACATTTGAATGTAATTAATTTTCTCCGAACATTGGAAACGCATTCAATAATGTTGTTGATTATTGCTCGAACATGTTTCGAAAAGCTTTTGATATATTAGTTCAAACACTCTCTCATATGCAATAATCGATGAAACGCTAATTGAAATGGACCGGATTTTGCGTTCATCCATCCAAACAAAAGTCAAACATAAATGGAATAGCTCTTTATTTGCGTAAATTGTTTGAATAGAAATTTCTCAATAAACTGTCGTGTTTAACTTTCCAATTTACAGGCCCTCATTGACAAAATGTGTGAAGGTGTTATTCTCATTCCTTCATTTCTGTCTTCAATTTTCTCTTTCAATTCTTTCTTCAATTATCTTTTCAATTCTCTAATACTTCATTTAATTTCAATTATCTCTTCATTTTTCTCTTCAATTCTTTCTCCATCTCTTGGACGTGAGAAAAAAATGAAAAATTTATTTCTTTTTTATATAACTCTTCAGTTTGCTCTTCAATTATTTCTCCAACTCTTTGAAGAGAGACATTGAGAAAGAAATTAAGAATGTATTTCAATTCTCTCTTCAATCCTCTCTTCAATTATCTCTTGAATTCTCTGTTCAATTCTCTCTTGAATTATATTCTCAATTCTCTCTTCAATGATTTCTTCTATTCTCTCTATAATTCTCTATTCAATTATTTCTTCAATTCTCTCTTCAATCTTCTCTTCAATTCTCCCTTCAATTATCTGTTCAAATATCTCTTCAATCATCTCTTCAATTCTCTTTTCATTTCTATCATCAATTCTCTTGTCAATTATCTCTTCTATTATTTCTAGAATTCTCTGTTCAATTCTCTCTTGAATTATCTTTACAATCCACTCTTCAATTATCTCTTCTATTCTTTCTTCAAATTGTTTGTTAATTCTCTCAATTTTCTCTTCAATTCATTCTTCAATCCTCTCTTCAATTATCCCTTTATTATCTCTTGAATTATCTGTTCAATTCTCTCTTGAATTATCTTTTCAATCCTCTCTTCAATTATCTTTTAAAATCTCTCTTCAATTACTTGTTCAATGTTCTCTTCAATTCTATCTTCAATAATCTCTTCAAATATCAGTTGAATTCTCTCTCAAATCTCTCGTCAATTCTTTTGTCAATCCTCTTTTCAATTATTTCTTCTATAATCTCTTAAATTCTCTGTTAAATTCTTTCTTGAATTATCTTTTCAATCCTCTCTCCAATTCGTTTTTCACCTATCTTTTCAATTCTTTCTTGAATTCACTCTTATAGAATTGAAGACCAATTATATCTTCAATTATTTCTTCAATTCTCTCTTCAAACTTATCTTCAATTCTCCCTTCAATTCTCTCTTAAAATCTCTTTTCAATTCTTTCTTAAATTCACTCTTCAATCCTCTCTTCAATTCTATCACCAATTATATTTTCAATTATTTCTTCTATTCTTTCTTCAATTTTTTATTCAATTATTTCTTCAATTTTCTTTTCAATTCTCCCTTCAAATATCAGTTTAATTCTCTCTCAAATCTCTCGTCAATTCTTTCTTCAATCCTCTTTTCAATTATTTCTTCTATAATCTCTTGAATTCTCTGTTAAATTCGCTCTTGAATTATCTATTCAATCCTCTCTCTAATTCTTTCTTCACCTATCTTTTGAATTCATTCTTCAATGCTTTCTTCTATTCTCTCTTCACTTATCTCTTCAATTCTCTTTTCAAATCTCTCCTCAATTCTTTCTTCAATCATCTCTTGAATTATCTCTTGAATTATCTGTTAAATTCTGTCTTCAATTATCTTTTAAATTCTTTCTTCATTTCTATCTTCAATTATCTCTTCTATTCTCCCTTCACTAATCTCTTCAATTATTTTTTCAATTCTCTTTTCAAATCTCTCTTCAGTTCTTTCTTCAATTCTATCCTCAATCCAATATTCAAGTCTCGTTTTAATTATATCTTCTTTTCACATCTCTACTTCACTACATTCGATGTAAATGAGAAACTGCGGTATGCGGAAACATCAAGGACGAAGTCGAAGAATACGTAAAAGTGCGAACGTTATTTATATATTACGACGCCCTCGAAAACCGAATTAACGACTGAGAGAGGAAAGAAATTGGCTCAGATGCGAAACTGGGTTTTCCGCAATTAAAACAATAACAAGACACAATTGCATTCTATGTGTATGGTTGAAGTCGAGATCATTAAACGAGACGTAATTGTGTCATTATTTAACGACACGACGCGATAATTACATAATTTCCACTTCCGTTTTATTTCAATTCCATTTTTTTTTACAACTTACAAGAAATATCTTTAGGATTTTTTTCCACAATTCATAATTGTTATTTGACATTTTAATATATTTTGTATTGTTTTCTTTTCCACTTCTATTTTTATTTCTAAATTTTCATTTTTTAAGAATATTTACAAGAAAATTCATGAGATTCATTGAACAAACATTGATTGAATAATATCCAAAATTTCTTTAATATTTTACAATTTTCACACACTTTTCTTATGAGATTTTAACAAATTTTGTTTTATTGATTTTTCCAAATTTTAAAGTGTTTCGCATTATTTTCTAATTAGAAATTATAAACAAAATTCTTATTTTTTTATTACTTCTAATTCAAGAAATAAATAATTCTATATAAAATTATATTAAAAAGCTATGTAAGATTTATATAATTTAACAGTAGAAAATAACAAGATTATTACACGTAAAAGCATTTTCCAAACGAAATTACTAAGAAAGTTTACACTGAGAAGTTTTAGGTTGAAACCATTGTAAAGGCAATCACAAGTTTATGGGAAACACAAAGTGAGCGTCGATTCACGTACAAAAGTATTTTCCAGTTAAGTTATTGGATAAAAGCCTCGCAACGTCTCTTAAGACGGAAACGCTTCTAACCACATTTAACACAATTTTCGAATAACTTGGGATAATTCTCAATTTCCTGTCTATATTTCCTTTACAAAATACAACACAACTTCATTGAATTCTCATTCACAGACCTACAACATCCTACACTTGACCTAAAACTGTCTTATTTGTATCAAACAATTATTCAATATATAATTACTCATATTAAAAACACAAGTTTTATGAATGATATTAATATGAAAAAAAATAATTAAAAATTTTAACTTTAACATACATTTTTTAATAATTTTTAATAATTTTTTTAATAAATTAGATTTTAAGAAACATAATTTATTATTTAAAAAAACTGTTCGTTATTAATAAATAATTATTTGAAAAGCTATGAATTCTTTACAACAAAACAATAATAATGACAAAATTTATATAAATGTATATAGTAAATTTTTGCAACATAAAATGATTTGGTAATTATGATTGCAAATCTTTAGTTTCGAACTGAAATTGGACTTCAGGACACTTATAGTAATGATAGTAATATAGTTAAAGCAAGTGCACTTATGTATTCCAGGTAATCGATTCCAGTTTAAATTTAAACCGGTTTCAATGGTGTATAACCGTGTAATTTACACATTTATCTGGGATGCTTTGCTCGATCCAACCTTCACCTCATTATAATCACCCATTTTCTCACAAACTACTTCCTTCTATAAATTAAACTTCTTATCAGCTAAGATGTTTAATTAATACAAAAAAAATAGTAAAAAAAACGAAGAAAATTTGTATGAATTTGACCTAAGTTTTAATTTTATTATTGCTTCAATCTCTTAATTCATCAATGAAATTTCTTTTAAACTTATCATTAGTTAAATCTTATTGAACATATTAGTATTAAGTAGATGTACATTGTTTTTTTTTTTGGTCTTACCTTTCAGTGTTTGTAATCCAAAACTCCTTAGACAATTTCTTCCTTCTGATCTTCGAAAATCAGTACCAGTCACGTTTTGTTTTTTTGTACAAATCAATCACTTCACTGTGTAAATAAAAAAAGGTAGAGAGAAACAAAATTGGTAAAGAATGTTGGTGAGCACGAGAATTGTATAGTAGAAGTAGTGTGTAGTTCTTTGGGTGCTTTTCGTTCGAGAGGTAGATTCAGTTTGTGGCACGTGCAACGAACGAGTGAAGACGGTAGGCGAACTTGAGGTGGCCGCGAAGAGGAATCCAGGCCACGAGGTCACTCGACCGCAACGAAGACGCTGCCCACCAGACACATGTGAAGGTGGCCGAAGAGACCTTCCGATGCGAACCGAATATGCGAAAAAAAAATACCAACAACAAACAACAACAAATCACGAATTTTTTTTATATAGGATTAAACTTAGTTAAAGAAATATTTAAAAAGTGGCACTTCTTGGGGAAAACCGAATTCTGTTGGTGAAACTACTTTTACCAAATTGCGTTCATTAAAACGATACAAATCCTCATCTTCATAAGCATATAACAGATTTCTTCTCTTTTCATCTTTTTACATTAAAATTCTCTCTAATTATACAGATTTTTTATTAATAATTTAGGTACAGTTAGAAAACGATTATTCATTCAAATTTATGAGCATTTCTTTGTATTTGTTAATATATAAAAGTTAGTATTCTACAAAATTTTCTAAAGAATACCTAAAACTGTTTAAACGCAATAATTTTATCTTCAATATATACATTTCATGACCTAATTAACATGCGTAGTTATCGAGTAATTAAATGAAACGTGAAAACGTAAAATAAATTGGAAAACTCGTGATATCTCAGTCAAAAATTAAGGTTACGTAACAGTAAATATATCAAAACAAGCGCAATTTAAGACCACTTCTTATATAGTAATTAGTATAATAATTTTTTGATAAATATTTTCGAGATAAAAAAAATATGAGAAAATAAATTTGAAAAATCGCCATATCTAAGTCAATAATTATTTTAACGTAACAATTTTTATATGAAAAAATGCGCAACAAAAGTGTAATTATAAAATATCTTAAAATTATTATAGATTTGTTACTTTTTAAATAAATTATTTAAAAAATTGTCCAAAAAAAAGTCCGAAATTTAATTAGAAAAATTGCCATATTTTTGTGAATAATTACTTTTTACTTAACAATTCTTATAAGAAAAAATGTGTAAACAAAGTGTACACATAAAGTACACTATTTATTTTAATGATTTAGACTTATGAAAAAAAATTAATATAATTTTTTCAAATAAAATTTGTACAAAATACGTATGTGTGAAATGAAGATCACATGTGTTGCAATATAGGAAAAGCTGGGAAAAACGACGTTGAAAACTTGTATTTTCTGTGCACGAAACAGCGTCGTCATCCTCTCATCCCGTTGCATAAACGTCTGAGCGTATTTTCCGATTTCCGTTCCCTCCGGCGATCCGCGTAAATGCAATAAACTTTTCAGCACTTTGTGGAAAGCGCAGACTGAAACCGCATGAAAACTGTGAATGGAAATCTGAAAAAAACCCTCAAGTTTCATGAACAGAATATTCAAAATATAACGTTTTTTTACTGTCATTATTTTGATCGAAAAAAATCCTATTTTGTGTTTTCACAATTCTGTTATTTTTTAATGTTTTGTTTGATTGTAACAAAAGTTGTTCCATTAATAGATTATACAATTATAATACTAAATCCGAAATCAACTACACGATTTGAGTAAAATCAATGAATTTATTCATCAAATGCGATTGAAGTGTATACGTTTTAATGTTTTCATTCCAATTTCATTCATACATTTTCTCTTTATAGAAACACCAATTAACCATGAAACGGTAATTAATTAAATATAGAGAGATTTCACATCCATTCAAAATCAACTCTTTTGTATCAATTTCATGAATGCTACTACAATGATATAATTCGCATGGAATTCGCAACTTTCTCTTCCTTCTCAAAACAAAATTGGTATTTTTTTTCTTCAAATTTTTCATATACATGAGTCACATTTCTCACGAATTTTACTCCAATTATTTTGTATTTTTTTGCGAAATTTTAATTTCTTTAAATTAGTGTTAGCTTCTGAGAAAAGCATTGTTTTTATCTTTGTTTTTAAGTGACAAATTTAGAAAACAATAATAGACATAGAAACATCATGAATTTGATTAATTTATTAATTTTGATGATGAAAACAATAAAAATTTCTTTTAATAAAATGAATTGATTTGACCTCATTTTTTTTGGCAAAAAAAACTTTAACAGTTAATGTATGCATTACAGATGCATGAGTTCATTGATTTATTGCATTATACATTCTTTAAGTATAGAATGAAAATTTATAACAATTTTGTAAAAAAACATTTTTTTTTTTTCAAAGTTTAGCAAATATTATTTGCTATAAAATTATTCTCATTTGTAATTGGAACTTATTTTGTGGATATTTCACTACACACTAGTTTGACAAGTATTTAAATAAGTACTTATAACGAGATATACACAAATATACTAGTTAATACGTGACAAGTAACAATTATACAACTGGAACTTATTTTGTGGATATTTATATTTTTTACTTCGTATTTTCCATCAAGGAAAATTTGTACACTAAGCTTGAAGAATTACTTGTTTCATAAAGTACTTTTAGAAAAATTATTAATTTTTAATTGGAACTTACTTTATGGATTTGTTTTTCTTAACATTAACAAAGAGGTTTAAAAGCACAACTTTTTAATACTTACTTTGTATAAATACTTAAACAAGTAACGTTAATATATAAATCACATTTATGTTTTTTTGTAATATAATACTGATATTTCATAAAGTTTGTAATGGCAATATCTTAATGAAAAGCAGGTTTGTTGAGGGCACAAAGTTTCCAGACTCGAGTATATTAAATTAAACATTCCATATCAAGTAAAAACTTCTATTTCAGCTGTTTCAATTGGCTTTGTACTACGCAAGAAGAGAAAAAAACAATGGCTTAACGTAATTGGAAGATAATCCAATCGGAGCTTGATTCAAAACTAAAGTAAATCAAAGCTCTCAAAGCAACGCAAAATCCAACCAATAGAAACATTTAATCTAAAGAATATCAACATTATTACAGACACATATAATACAAGTAAATCATTACAGAATTATTTAATAAGATTCTTTACAAATTTACACAACAAAATCATTACAGATACATTCATTAAAATACATATCAAAGTCATTACAAAACTATTCAATAAGATTCATTATAAATGT